ATCCTCTGCTTCTGTGCCTCTATCCATCTCTATCCTCATGGAAGACAAGAAGCAAACAAATTTAACCTTATGCACGTATAGCTACATACAAACGTTCAACGACACCTATTTAGATCATATATTGTGTGAAGAAAAGCATCTCAGGAACAATCTTATCAATCAATGGAATTTAAAGAATATCAATCATAAGCCTTGAGACATTGTGTATTTCAACAACTTTATTATTGTCTGTAACATACTGTACATCATTATCAATGTTAATAAGGGTGAAAAATTGTTTGCAATGAGTAAATCATTGTAATATGCCATGCTGAGAATTCTGCACTTTAAACAAAATTGTGGTTCAGAATAAAGCAAATACAAATTATTATCATTGTTATCATATATATTATAGGTTTCTACTTAGGATATTTGAAAATTTCACTAGACATCTTTTGACTGACTTTTTAACGCGTCGACATGAAGTCTAACTACTGGTAAGATGTCGGCTTTTTTCCCGATAGTAGTACAAAAACTACTATCTTTTTTTCTTATACACAGGAGCCCATTACAGGTATCTGCACTTGACCATCTTGTAACTCGAAAGTGAATTTCATTGCATCTCCACTTTCTTGAGATTGAGATAAAGTCGATTTGATTTTTAGTGTGTCCTGGTGTCTGGTGAAAACCATGTCGCTTTATGGATATCCTTGTGCTTGAACACACTGCATCGCTTCCAATCACCAAATCGTTGAATGCACAGAATTCTGCAAATAGTACTCCATTCTCGTTCATTTCACCTAGCGCTTCTCGACCCATGGTTAGTTCTCTTCTTGTGTTTTCCGCTCCTAGTTTTGCATTCATGTCACCCCACCCATTAGAATTTTGATGTCGCCAACTGAGGGACATCATGACAGCCACTCCATCAGTGTGCTCGTGGTTGTCATCTGGGTGACAATGTCGGAGTAGATTATTGACTCCTCTCCACTTGACAGTTGGAAGAGTCCACTCCCATTCCATCTGCTTTCGCAGATCCCAAGCACTTCAGTGTGATACCTTCTCATCTCGTTTGCAATCTGGGCTGCCTTGCTGGGTTGAAACATGGTTCGGACATTCCATGTCCCCACGTTTACTTTCGCTTTCATCGAGAGAAGACACATCGGCCAATTGGCTTCTCGAAAGCTTTCACCAACTGGGGTCATTTCGCCTCTCCGATTCCAGCGAGGAATAATTTTGTTATTATTTTTTATATATCGTTTGTGCTTTGAAGTTTCTTCAGTGGTTAGATTTGTTTTACGGGGTAGGGTTACTAGGTGTATGTCGAACCTTCCCTCTTTACGCTGGCTTAGGACCGGTTAGTAACTAGTGAACTAGTTAACCAGGTTCAAAAGATTTCAGAGAAGAGAGTTCACTGGAGACGTGCTACCGAAGCCCTATGTTCCATTAGGAATCCAAGGGACTAATAATATTGTCGAGTTCATGTACATGAAGAAACTGTGCACACATTTCAATTCCAAAATGTTGAATTTGTCATTCCTACATAACAGCCTTGAGGTAGGATTAAATGTAAAGTGATGTCTTCAGTTATTCATTATTATATGTACTATGATCACAAGTATTGGTGACGCCATTACAACTAGTGTTTATTTAAATATTTTGAGTTCAAGTACAAATATACGGTTTGCATAATTTGTTCAAAGGGTGCCTAAAGTTTCTTTTAGTGTTAGGTAAAAATTTAATCCATAGTTTCTTAAACTCATTAGGAAAACGCTTATTTTCAAGGAAAATTCGTTAAAATGGCACATCAAAAAATGGTAGAAATAAGATATGACAATATTTCTCACACAATTCACCAGGACGTTTGGCCTCCAGGCTGGTGACACTAAACTGTCCAATGAAATGAATTCATGTTATTCTGTTTAGTTTGTTGTTTTCTGTTTATATGAATTTAAAGAAGCAAACGATTTCTGTCAAGGTAGAAAAATGGTTTGCGAAGTATTGGATCAAGAATATACAGTATATGTAGTATATAGTATATAGTATATATAGTATTGTTCATTCTAGTTGTTTTCTTTTCAATCGGTGTCCGATAATTAGGACAGCAATAAGAGGAATATGAACCATAAACTTAACCTTAATGAATTTATCAGTCTCAAGGTTAACTAAACTATGTATCATGATTCAAATTTTAGCATTCAAAAGTTAAGATAGGGCTATATAGAGCGAAATCACTGAGGTTGTTATGAGAATGTTTTAGAGATGCTCCTATGACTAAAAGCCTAGTCAAAAGCTTAAATGATGACCGATAATTCCCCATCATAGATGTACAACATGTTAATAGAATAAATTGGTCACAGAAAACTGGTTCAAGGCGTCTGATAACTTGCTAAGAAATCAGTATCCAGATACTCAGTTTCTAATCAGAATTATTGTTGAAAACTTCATTCAGTTACTTATTCATTAGTTAACTTCGTTTATCAGACACTTTTTGACAGATTTAGACATAACTTATCAAAATATTATGTAAAAACTTCTGTTAAGAGGTACAATTTGCAAAGCATTTCGAAGAATTTCCTTTCAGCCAGTGTGAACTGAAGAAATGCAAAGTCATAGGAGTTAATTTAAGGATGCTGTGTGAGTTTCTTTCAACTGATTTAACTCTTCATAATAAAAAGTTGCTGAAATATAGCAAATAAATCTAATACCACCAATCATCTTCATGTACATATTTGCTTGAGGTGTCATATACTTTTTCATGTTTGGGCTTCATTCATACAGTGATAAGCACTGTAAGTAAGCCTGGAAGTTGGAAGACATCCACATTTAAAATATATTTATAAAATAAAAAAGTATAACTTCTGTGGCTTAATTTATCTGTTTTCATCATTTATGAGAAACCTATAAAGTAATTTGCCAGATATCAACTTGTGCATTAGTTTGTTTCGTGTATTTCACAACAGTCAGCGATTTGTGAAACCGATTCTGCCTTTCTATGAGTAAAATGCCTACGTCATGAGAAAGTAAAGCAATTGAAACAGCAGATACATGTGAACTGGTTTACTGTGTAAACAATATAGACAGGGAAACGTTTGCTAAGTGATCAATGTGTTCTTCAAAATTAAGTGCTTCTAAAAGCATCAGTTATAGTTTATCTGTCAGCACTAGGGTTTTCACCAAATCACTTCGTTTATTCAGCACAACAGTGATGCAACTACATTCTAGTTGATTTTCTTCAGTAGTTGTATTAATAGGCGAACAGAATTAGCAAAACTTTTGAGTAGAAAATCCACCATTTTATTCTTAAAGAAAGAGTTCAAGTAAATCCATATAGACTTCGAACACCTGATGAAATAACCATGAATTTACTGTCTACTTGGAGGCTTCTTGAAGTCCAAAAGACGTGGTATAATTTCTCTCTTAACAGTTTACAAATTCGAGTGTTAAAGCACCATTTAGTAGAGACACAATGGAACATATACCTTTTTAATACAACTAGTTTCTGAATCACGTTTTTACACAGGATGTCACCAGAAGAACTGGAATAGTTTTTTTCTGTATGAAGCAACTACCTAGAATCAAGTTGTGAAGAAAACCATGAAAGCTGCATGCGATCAAAGAATATGACGAAAAACAAAAAGCAGTTTAATATCCTCACCAACATCGATTCACAGCACCATAACAATCAGTCTGAAGGGCGATTTCCAGCTTACTACTTGTGCTAAAAAATTCACATTTCTCAATGAAGATTAAAAGACATTTCGTTGAAAAAAGTAAACAGAAATATTGCCCTGTCACTGGCCTACCACATATATTGACCATTGCACTTAATGTGTAAGTAATAAACAGACATAATGTATTCAGCTGATATCCGATGATATTGGCTTGCAAGTTTTACTGTGCACTTACCACACCGACGAATATATTTACTTCACCGTCAAATAGTGAAAAGAAGAGTGGTGTTGCAATCACCACTTTTTTCAGCTTGCTTGGGTAGAGAGTTAAGTGCAAAAGCAAAATCTACTCGGTGTTTCCAAACAAATCTTTGTAGATTATCAGTGACCGGTCTATTAAACATGACAACCTTTTGACGAAAGTCCCAAGAAGTAGTGAGCACTTAACTCTTATTTCTGCTGAAAGAAGTTAACCAAAGGCCAAACGGTTGTCAAGTTGATGTTTTTGTGTGATGGCGTTTTTGAGAATTCAAGGTGAGAACCACTGACTTCATGCAATGTGTGCGTGAAGCATCATTTATTGTACAGTGGTGTAAACATCTATGACATGACAAACATCTTATTAGTGTGAAGACAAAACGGTTATAATTTGAGTCCGTGATGATAGTACTTTCTAGACTCATACCTAGTATTTGTTTTCAGTCAATCTACTTTCTCGAACCTTGTTGGTAAATTCTGCTTTTAGCTTTCTGTATTCATAGCTTCAAAATATGATGAGTAAGTTTTGTACTTAATTCTTATTGAAACGGCTTACTGTAGTAATACTTTTACAAATCTTGTTTGGTCAAATGTTGAAGAAAACGGCTGAAAAACAAGTGTGTGAGTAATCAATCTGAAAGTGGCTTGTGTGAACTGAAAACAGGCAGCGAAGCCTGTCACACTTAGTACAGTCTTTAGTTTATTGAAATTTATTTTTCCAAGGTTATAATAAACGATATACTTTGCTTGATTCGTAAACAGTATTTATCTGTTTGTAAAAGAAACCATTTATTGTAAAGTTATTATCTTATTTATGTATGCATTGAAAGTCTATCTTGATTAGTATGGTGACAAGTTAAACAGACAGTCACCTAATTTAATCTGTGAGTATACGCGAAAGCACTAAACCAACAACAAACAATATTAGGATTCTTGGCAACCAAGGCGAAGTGATTGGCAGTCAGTCTTAAGAAAATAAGGTCAGATTCAATGAACACCTATTGGTCAAATAATGAAAATCGAGATAACATGACTTATATGAAATATATTTAATGAAATTAAAAGTGAAGTAGGATTCAGACAGCAAACATAATGTCGTATACTAAGATGACTTCATCAGTAACCTTATTACTCATTTTTCTCAGTCTCACCATCAAAAGTGGTACGTTGATTATCTTATTTATTTATTTCTGTCTGTAACTATTAGTGTTAATTCGCTGCTATAGGTAATGTACATGTTCCTCCTCCTTGTTGAATTGACCTCGTCAAAGTTATCCTCTACTTAGGCATAAAAATCGATACTGAATTTACTGGTTCACTCAGTAAAATGGGAACCCTGATTAGGATTGTGAGTCATTTGATTACTGGGATATTTATGCATATGAGAGATGATAGAAATCCAGAAATTTAGCAGTTAAATAACGTCTGATTCAAGTTTTCTCAAAGTAGTAATGCGATTTACTCGGTGGTAAGGGTCTTTACATTAGCTTTATCTGAATAATATCTTGTTTGATTAAGAGTAATATTACTTGGTTACAATGTGACATAATATTTTGTGAAAGAAATTTGGTCACAAATGCTTCAGCTCATCACTTCATTTGTTGAGTGTTTTTTCTCTACAACTCTTTTCATGTGAGTCAGTAGAGGTTTCTTTCACCGACGACCTGCTCACTACACTTGTTATTGGAACAATTAACCATAGAAGCCATTAAATATGATTACATTTATCAAAATGAAAATAGTACATACTTCTCCACTGAAAGCAGTGGAGAAGTTAATCATTGTATGATGCAGCATAACGCAGCTTTTCCTTACGTTTAGAAAGCTTTCAACCGGAAGCCAAATATGAAGACTTGTCAGACATAGGGACATAAAATAAATGCATTTTTTTAAGATATCGGCAAACAAATCACCGAATAAATCTTCTAAGAGTTTAAGGGGAAAGAGAAACATCCCTTTTAAAAAGTCTTCTACTGGTTTAGTAGTAAGAATGCAATTTCGTTCATCACAATAAGTCAACTTTATAAACTGATTACACGTTAGTAGCTGTTTACAGACCAATTTAAAGTCATCGTGTTAACGGAGATTTAAGTGTTTGGAAGGTGGAAACAAACTGGATGCACTAATTGGGTTAACGTAATAAACATACCAACCGTGTGCAAGAAAATGCCTGTACAGTTTACCATCAGATAACAGCTAAGTAAAACTGAAAAAAGTACAAATCTAGTTAAAGGTAGTGGAAAGTTGGTGCATTGTATATGGCTCTCAATTGCCAGACAGATGAAATTGAATCATATCAACAATTATAAGAAAAATTAATGTTCAAAATGGAACTATTTGTCTTAGTCTAACTCCACAGTTATATGACACAAAGCAAAACTGTAAATCTTGAAGTGTTGTCAGAACAAAGAGGAAGTCCAAAGGTGGTAACATTGAAATTGTTTGAGCGAAAAAAGTGAAGCGAATTTCGAGGAATTTCGAGGGAAATTAGTATTACTAGAGTTAATCGGAGAGGATATTCATTTTGAATTTTACTAAGCATCATGGAAATCTGTATTGTGTTGAAACAGTAAGTTCATTATGTTGTCATAGAATTCTGAATTAATTGTATTATATTGGTTTCAGCTTATTCAGTTAAGTGCTACGTGTGCGATAACTGCCTGAATGTAGACCAGAATACTGCAACTCAGGACAACTGTGGTGCGTGCCTTGTAAGTTATCGAAAACAGTTACATTGCTTTGATCAGCTGAATGATTCTATTTTGGCTTGCCTGTTTCATGATAGAGGCTGAAGTTGACATATGGAAGTGATGAACAAAGTTGTAATTACAAACAGACTACATCTGATTTGTTAAAGGATTTGAAGTTGATGCCATATAGAATTCTTTCGATAACCTTGTCTTATGTATTTTGCATACAGGATTATAAGTTTGAATATAACTGCACAACCATCTCTTTTGGATACTGAGTATTTTAAAAATACAGTTTGAAGTGTAAGTTAAATATGATAAGCTTGTATAGACCAAGACTGATTGTTACTGCTTACCTAATAGTTGTAATGTGATCAGATGATCTAAACATGGTTCTGACTTCAGTTCTTTTGACCTGAATGCTTCTCACGTATTATAGTTTGTGTATAAGCTTTAAATTCTGCCAGGAAATCAACATTGACTGAACCATGAATCAAGGAATATATGCATAACTCCCATTTGCCTGCTACATTATGTATTCTACTTAAAATTAAATATTTGAGTACGAGTACGGATTAGTCGTAGTTTCATTTATGTGTGTAGTGAAATGATTCCGTTCGGAATACGATCTACATTTTTGCCCGTTCTGAGGTGATTTTCTTGATTGAATAAGTGTGAACACTTTGCATTTATCTATACAGTAGACGGCATACTTTGAATGAAGACTAACTTCATAAACTTTAAGACATTTCCAACCTTTCTTTTTCAAGCAGAACCTGATAAATAGCCTAGAGGACATAAAACAGATTGACTTGATTACGTACTGACTTGTGTACAGCTAGTTTCCTTCTACCTTCCATTTTAGCATTATTCAGATAGTGCAACGTTATCAGTCTGATCTTGTTGACTATTGAGTCAAAATCATTCATGTCATTAAATTTTATTAAGAAGAGGAAAATAATTTTTGATCATTGGTGTCAAGAGAATAAAATCTATCTCCTCATTCTACGTAGGTAGTAGGAGATTGATAAATGAATTCCTCACGTGGTGTCTAATTTCAACTAAAATACTCCCTAACTTTGCTGTGGTATAATTTATTTCACTTTCTACTATGTGTCCTGCAACATCTAACACCAGCGTAATTTCTCACTGACTCAATTCTTTGATTACACAAAACTGATGTTTAATTTCTTGTCGTGAATCCTAAACTTGTGAAAAGTGGTTTGAATTTAACACTTGATAAAGGCAGATTACAATAAAAAACAAACAGATTCAAAATGAGTTTGAAGGGTAGTACAAACTGACCAGATGTTTCTTTGACGTATCATCAAGTGAAATTATTTTCGTTAAAGAATAAGAAATTTCTGGAGCTAATGCTAATTTTTCAGATATTTTCTGAAATTAATTAAATTCATTGAGAGAGATATGGGCGAAGTGTGCTTCATCATCAACACCGTGTGACATACCGTCCGTTATTTGTCTAACGGAAGTGGGAAATTGCTTACAGAAAAAGAAACTCACTGCATTTATAGTGACAATCTGAAGCCGGAATATATGCCAGCGAGGTGAAATTATTAAAATTTCACCTTATCCTTTGTTATTTCTAATTTTTCCCTTCACTTTTCGTCATTGCTGACTGTTACCCCTGTATAATTTGCTTTTAGAAAGGTGGAATTCCAAAAATTTTCATGCAGAGAAAATGTGTTGATACATGTACAGACGCTGCTGCTAAATTCGCAATAAAAGATCTTCTCGACTGTTGCACGAGTGATTTATGCAATGATGCCAAGAGAGTGAAGCCATTTGTGGCTGTAACAATAGTTATTTATGCTATTTGGACAATGATAACTGGTCCTAAATTAAACTGAAGTTACCCACTGTACCATTTTTAAATAGATGTTAGGCTGTGCAAATGTTACAAGATGAGAAGCATAGCGATTCTCATCAAACATATGACCAGCTGTTTTAGTTTATGCTGTATAAACTCAGCTTAGTATTTTGTAGTTGACAAATCTTTTTCATAATTGTTTTTCTGAAAAACAGCAATAACATGTAATTTGTTCATAAATTTATCAATAAAGAAATTTTTTGATAATCGAAGGGATTTGGAACTCAGAAGCGGAAGGGTTGTAGGTGTCACTAAGCTGCGACACTTCTTCGCAAACGATTTCTGGGGAGAGATGGTGACTTCATCAGCCTTTTTTTAAATGATGAAGCATTTAAAAGTTTTGTGAGCTTCCATGCATTTCTACTCACCTATAGAGTGGATGGATTGCTAGAAGTGACTTTAAGGGGTACCTTAACAACTGCTGAGATAACCACATACAGATATTTATTTTATAAATAATAGACTTCCCAGCCGTAATACGGAAACTCGATTGCTTAGTTCAGCAGTTTCTAGGGTGGGCTCAAAAAGTCATTTAGTAATGGTAGAAATGATTTTCTTATCACCTGCTGACTTTGCAACCTATGTTTGGTTGCATTTTTCTGACAGGGATAAATATTATTCACAGCAATATTTTACGTTTGCTATTGCCCCGGTGGTTGACTAAGAATGTAGTATTTAGAGCAGTATCTGAACCTATTGTACTCACAAGAAACTTTTGTCGGTCTAATTATTCAGTTTCACCAATCTGACGACATAATTCAAGGTACTGAATGTAATACAGTGATTATTGGATTGAATCATACGTCAGTAGAGCCGATTAAGTTTATTCAGAACAATAGACATAGAAATGTAGCTAAATTCAGAGCAATGGGCCTGAATAAGAAAGGTGATTGAAAAATCCTTCTTCACTGTATTGCATGGAGTAATACAAAGTAGTGTGGAACACAGTACCAGACTTAAAAGCAAATATACTTATGTCTGGCAATAGAGTCTAGATACCGAGACTTTGCCAACTGAGTCAACACCCTATGGTTTGGCGAAAAATGACACAAAACCTAATACCGATGTGCACAGAAGCCTATTTACGTCAAAAGCAAAGAATGATAAGCGACAAAATCAGGGAAAATTGACGTTTTAGTTTATGTGAAAGTGTTTATATTATAATGATTAATAAGCCGTACTCGAGGTGTTATCCAGTATCACTATTCTGCGTCAAATAAAGAAATCTGAAATAAATTCAGTAAGTAATTTTGAATCTCTCAGATTTGCGAACGGAGTACTTGAATCGGCAGTACATGACGGATTTACTCAGTTAAGGAATACATTTTTCTGCCAATAAGTTTAAACTAGCAGTTCAACGTTCAACTGTTGCAAGTAGCTTAGCGTAATATAGGTGACCATAATTTACGCTAAAGAAAAATGTGAGATTTCATTAACTCACGGTATACATTACAAAATGCAACATATTTATAGTTTTTACGATGCCAATGGAGATTTACCTTTTTCCTTTAAGGTAAAAGTTATGTGTGCTTGTAGATTCTGTATTAGCATCTCCCAACACTCTCTTATATATAATCGATTATTTCAAAACATTTCGTGTTCTCAAGACAATGAGTGCAAATATTGTTCATCGTGTGCTCTAATGTGACTCATAGGAACATTTTCTGCATATTCTGTTCACTCACGTTCACATAAAATGCTTTCACCTTGATAATTTTTACTCATTCTGTCCTCAAACCAGTCTCAGTTAATCAATGCATAAAATGTACATACAGAACTATGATTCATGTGGTTTCTAGCTATTCTATTCAGAAAAGTCATTTGACAGTGTCATCAGATAGAAAAGTAAATTCTATACATTGAAGCCTACCTTCACGTGCTTTCAAGATGTTTCAAAATCCACCTAACTAGGAGATATTATGCAAATGTTAAAGTGTGTGTAAAATATTGTGACAATTGAGTTGGTAATCTAATTGCAGATTACAGGATAAAAAAGAATTGCATAGTTTTGTTTCATGTAGTTTCATTCATCTTAATTCGATTTGATTCCTACCAGTATTACTCAGTAATATCCTCAGAGCTATACAACTCATATGAAATATTGATTCAAATAGCTTCGTTTGTTATTGAGGTTTCGTGTAATGGAAATTCTTCGTACATAGAATGAGTATGTATAAGACACTGTCTGTATCTCAAGTTTGCACACCTGCTTTCAAAACACCAGTCACTTTCCACTCCATTGTCCCAGTATTCATGAAATTTGCAACGTGCTAGAGAAGATCTGTAGAGCAAGATAAGGATGATAAGTGTTTGGTGTTTACCGAGCTTACAGGTTCGTTCTTGAATGCGTCACCACCACACAAGTCAATCTCATCTGCATTTACTCCACAAACATCCTCGAAACAGATACTTCCTCCTACCTAACACATTCATTAGCTGCATTATCAGTTATCAAGTACTCTGTGTAAATGTAGTTGTCTGCAGAACTGTTGCTTTACATCAGTATACTGAATAGGTGTACATCGACCGAGTACCACAACGGCGGTTTGTTTATTGTGGTTGTTGATCGTGGTGTGCTGTGGTGTTGTTTTTAGTTGCATCTTTTGCGAAGTTATCACACTGTGATGATGACGATGATGACTGCTTTGATTCAAGTATTGCAGCTCATTTAACTGTGTTGTTCATTAGATTACATTGTTTATGTTGATGAACTCATCATGATTCTTGTTGTAGAGAAGTCTGTGCGTTGGTAATTCTTCTGATTTGAATGCCACTCTAATCCTAGACTTCCTTAGCATTGACTGCCTTATTTCTGATGTGACTGTCGAATTGAGCAACGAAACGAAAACTTGAAGTTCCTTTGTGTCTGTATTGCGATCATGATTTAGCTGACTATTAGTGTTGGTTCTTTGCTTAGGCGTTTTGAGGAATCTCTGAGGAGTTTGTGGAGGATGACTGTTGATGTTTTATGGTTTGTCTCCCTTTGTTGCATTGAATTTAATACTCGTTAACGGAGTTGATCAAAGTTTTGTATTTTTAACGTCGGAGAAATGTTACACCAGTAAGAGCAACTAATGAATCTTTTTCCAGGGTGGGGTATATGGTTTGTAGTGATCAAATATCCCACCTCCTGTGTTGAGTTATAAGTTACTTTCGGTTGAACGTTCACAATTTTGAAAGGTTAGTTTCCATTTGTCACTGCGGTTATCATCTTTAATCTTTAGGACAATTCTGTGAAGATCGCGTCTAAGAGATACTGACGTTTTACTGAAGTCATCTAGGAAGATGATGAAAGCTCTACGATTAAACAACCCAGCTCAGAGAACACAATAAACCAAGATCATCCCCCACCATAAACTTACTTAAAACAGGATGTTTCTCCAAAGTGAGTCATTTTTGAGAAGTTATAGTGTGATTTATTTTGACATTGTATCTTAAATGACAGATATTTTTGTTTGTAGCATCAGATTACGTATCGTGATTTAATGCATTACTGATCAAATGCACCCTTTTTAAATCGGACATATTTTGATTCATGAACTGACGAACAGAGTTTGAAATTATTTTTGTGAATTTATTCCGAAAGATTTCTTGAAACCTGGTTTGCTAAACATTCTTTCTGATAACTTTTTAATCTACATGTAATGTTTCTCTGAATTACATCTTTATTCTTAAATGGCACGATTTCTAATATTTATTTGTTTAGTTTGTTTTTTAATTGAAATAAAGTGAGGGTATTGGCTCCCCTAATTTTGTAAATGAACACAATTTGACTTTCGGTATATGCCTGATGAGGAAAGAGAGCAACCGTTTTACGCCAATTTGAATAAAATGTAGCTTCAGAAACTAACAATTCTGGGGGAAATTGAAGTAGACTATAAAACTGTTGACATCAGAAACCCAAGAGGAAGTCAGTTATTGACTGTACTATTTAAATAACAAGAAATAAAGCACTGTACCACTGTTTCGCTAGTTTTAGGTCAAGCCTTTCAATGGTACCTACAGAAAATACTTAGAAGAAAAGTAATGTACTATTTAGACCAACCGAAAGTGGGAATTTGATCTGTGTCTATCTATGCACAACGAAATGGAAGAAAGATTAGCAAGTCATTTACATTTTGAAAGGTAGATGACATGAGATGTCATAGCTGAGCAGCGTTTCAGCTGCTAACTGTGCTACCAGCGAGGTTAGCTGTATGATATTTAAACTAAGATTACACACCGAGATCACTTTTGTGATAATCATGAATTGTATATATCTTCTAACTGGCATAAATAGTATAATCATGAAAAATAATGAGAATACAAACAAAAAGTTAGTGAAGATCATATTATGAATTGCACCACATACAGTGATCACATGTTATCGCCTCATGAAAAGAAGTAGTTGATCAGAAATATGACATTAAAGTTGACAAAACTGGATGAAACTGGAGGACAAACAGATGAAGGTTGGTGAAAATATTCAACACATCGATGACAAAGGCTAAATACATCTGAACTATTGCCAGTGACTTTCATCCATGTCCACGAGTCACCAACCAGAGAATCCACTCCTTCCCGCGACCCCAGTCAAGTAGCCTATATACCCGCTCACTGTTCAGGGGTTCAGTCAAAGACTGTGGACTAGTGTCAGGTCTTGGTCTGGACACAGTGAGTCTCCTCTTAAGTTAATTTCACTTGACATAACGTCAGATGACAAGGTGGTGGGGGACTCCGTATTGTCAACAACAATCGTAGCCACCTCAGTTGCTGAAAATCGATAGTTCCGACTAATACTCTAAGCCTTACTTTTCTACTGCTCACATTTTTTAAGTGGTAATTTCCAACTGCAGTAGAGTAAGACAATTAATCTCATCACAGTATTCTTGACTCTTAGTAGATAGTAGTAGAACAATGTCTTCTGATTATTTGGAGTCATCCAAGGACATTTCTGTGGCTACATCGATCCCTGAAAAGTCAGAGTTGCTCAGCATTAAA